AAAAAAAAAAAAAAAAAAAAGAGCTGCTCAGATCAGGCTGTTGTAGCGCTGTGAGAGTGTTAGAGGAGTGATGATAGACCTTTTTTGTTTTCAAGAAAAGCTAGAAATTGAGATTTGGTAATACTTTCCTGATTTTGTTTATTTTATTTTTTTAAACTTTTTTGAGACGGAGTCTCGGTTTGTCACCCAGGCTGGAGTGCACTGGTGCGATCTCAGCTCACTGCAACCTTGCAACCTCCACCTCCCGGGTTCAAGTGATTGTCCTGGCTTCGCCTTCCCAGTAGCTGGGATTACAGGTACTGTGTACCTCCATGCCCGGCTAATTTTTGTATTTTTAGTAGAGATGAGGTTTCACCATGTTGGCCAGGCTTGTCTTGAGTTCCTGACCTCAGGTGATCCACCCATCTTGGCCTCTCAAAGCGCTGGGATTACAGGCGTGAGCCACTATGCCCGGCCCACTTTCCTGATTTTAAAAAATATGGGCAACTATTTGTTTGAACTATATGGTTCTGATGATATTTGACTTTGTTGAGCTACACATGTGGCAGTTTCATAGAGCAACCAGAATAATACAGCAGTTTACAAAAGGAAATCTGCAGGTAGCGTACGCTCAAGTGATCTCTGATAAACCTTGTCGTCGGAGTGTGGCTTTTTTGTTTTAAATTAAATTATTTATTTATTTATTTATTTTTAGAGACTGGGTCTCACCCTGTCACCCAGGCTGGAGTGCAGTGGTGAGACCAGCGCTCATTGCAGCCTTGAACTCCTGGGCTCAAGCGATCCTCTTGCTTCAGCCTCCTGAGTAGCTGAGACCACAGGTGCGTGTCACCATGCTCGGCTAAATTTTTTTATTTTTATGTAGAGATGAGATCTTGGTTTGTTGCCCAGGCTGGTCTTGAACTTCTGGATTCAAGCGATCCTCCCTCTTTGGCTTCCCAGTGTTGGGATTACAGGCGGGAGCCACTACGCCTGGCCAGAGCATTTTTTTTTTTTTCTCTGTCCAACCCCTCATCCCTTCCTGTCCTTGGCCCTGGTACCAGCTGACCTCTTGGTTGCTCTTTGCCATTCACTGATGTCTTTGGAACTTTCCCCTCTCCCCTCCCCAAGTTCCGCTGCCACTAGCCAGCCAACAGCCTCGGGCTTCCGGAACCTCTTCAACTTTGGTGACCTCCCTGCCTTCTCTTCAGCCACCCACTCTCAGGGCCACACCCTGTTTCCCCTTCACTCCAGCAGTCCTTAGTGGTAACCCCAGCCTGCTTCTCAGCAGTTCCTCTCATTCCTGTAATTGCCGTCTGCCCAGCAGAACCCCGACTCTGGGCCCATGCTTCGACCCCCTCTGCGGCCAGTATACTAGGCTGGGAAGGGCTCTGAGGAAGCCCTCAGGACCGTGAGAGGTTTGTTGTCCTCACCACACAGGTCTTCCTGGCACCACTGACACCCTAAGCCTTTGTCAGTTTTTTTTTTTTGTTTTTTTTTTTTTGAGACAGAGTTTCGCTCTTGTTGTCCAGGCTAGAGCGCAATGGCGAGATCTCAGCTCGCGGCAACCTCCGCCTCCCGGGTTCAAGCGATCCTCCTGGCTCAACCTTCCAAGTAGCTGGGATTACAGGCACCCGCCACCACGCCTGGCTAATTTTTTGTATTTTTAATAGAGACGGGGTTTCACCATATTGGCCAGTCTGGTCTTGAACTCCCGACCTCAGGTGATCCATCTGCCTCGACCTCCCAAAGAGCTGGAATTACAGGCGTGAGCCACCGTACCCAGCCGCCTTTGTCGGTTTCCTCTCTTATTCTCTCAACAACCTTCCTCCCTCCTGGGACCCCTATGTTTGCTTCCAACTTCGCTTGGAATCTTGAGGTCAGCAGTTGCAGTCTGTCTCCACCAGCATCCTGCTGCTCCCCTGTAGGTGCTCCAGTCCATGTGGGTCTCACTCTCCTGCCGTCTGAGAGGACAAGGGTCCTTCCATCACCAACCTACACCTCCTGCACCTTCAGTTCTCCTCTTTTCATTGGCCCTTTCCCTTTGTTTCTTTTTTTTTTTTTAATTTTTTTTTTTTTTTTAGAGACAGGATCTAGCTCTGTTGCCCAGGCTGGAGTGCAGTGGTGCGATCACAGCTCACTGCAGCCTGAACTCCTGACCTCAAGTGATCCTCCTGTCTCAGACTCCCAAAGTGCTGAGATTGCAGGCATGAGCCACCAAGCCTGGTCCCTGCCTGCTTTTTTATTTTTTGAGACGGAGTCTTGCTCTGTCACCCAGGCTGGAGTGCAGTGGTATGATCTCACTGCAACCTCCGCCTCCCAGATTCAAGCCATTCTCCCACCTCAGCCTCCCAGGCAGCTGGGATTACGGTGTGCACCACCACGCCTGGCTAATTTTTATATTTTTAGTAGAGACGAGGTTTCACCATGTTGGCCAGGCTGGTCTCAAACTCCTGGCCTCAAGTGGTCGACCCACCTCAGCCTCCCAAAATGCTGGGATTACAGATGTGAGCCACTGTGCCCGGCCCCTGCCTGGTTCTGAAGGCATCTGGACTGGTCTTCTCTCTGCCCAGTGAGAGTGAGGCATGGGAGGCCCTGGGCAGAGCAGGGGGTACCCAGGAAAGCAGGGAAGGGAGATGAAGACCTGGAAAGCTGGGTGCAGGCTGCATCCTGGACACCAGAGAGGAGGGGGTGTCACCCACTAGCAGGATCAGAATGGAAAGTCCATAGATGGGCACGGCTAGGAGGTGACCAAGTGTGGGCCATGCTCTCTTTGTTGACTGAGGGAAGGTAGGGAATGGGGCGGCTGGCTGGTGGAGGAGGGAGAGGAGGTTATGTAAGGAAAGAGATGTAAGGAGAAAGCCATCCTGGCTAACACGGTGAAACCCCGTCTCTACTAAAAAATACAAAAAACTAGCCGGGCGAGGTGGCGGGCGCCTGTAGTCCCAGCTACTCGGGA